CCAAACAGTTCACTCAAAACCAACTTGCACCAAGCAAGCCCATGTTGTGAAAGTTTGCATGCATTTGGATGGTAAACAAAGAACATTCATGAGTTCAAAGATTTTTTTAAATCCATGACTTTTAGACACATCAGAAAACTATTCCCTGGGGTATGAAGTAAGACCCTGAGTATCTGCAATTGAAAGTATCTGTAAATGAATCTGAAGATCTTCCTAGCTCTACATTTATATATTTATTTTTAAAGTCCACCTGAAATATTCATGCTGGGTGTCCAGGACTCCTCAATCCTATTGTTGACCTAAAGAATGCTTAAAAAAATCCACACAGCTGGTGAACAGCAGCGAGCCTTGCCTGCTCAGAGCTGGGGATGTGGTTTATTAATTACTAGGCTGCTCACTCCTGCCCTTCTTCTGTTTCTTGCTCTGCTATTTGTCTTCTTCCGGGGACATAACACCTTCATTAAATCCCATCCGTCCTTGCCTCAGAGGCGTCCCCTGGAAGATGTCCCCTCTCTAGATGCATCACCATTCATCATCACCCTTTGTTTGTGCTCTGTCAACCAGTTTTCCATTTATTTTGAATTCGGTTTATGATTAAAATTTAATGAGATCCAATCAAGTGCTTTTCTCCAATCAAGATGTCTCTGCAGTCTCATCCATACCCTGTCTTGTCACGGCGTGAAGGAAAGCCACCACAGGCTTGCAGCCTGGCGATTCAACACAGGCGGCCTCTAGCCACACCTCCTCACCTTCGAGGTGAATGGTTCTAAAACATTCCTGAAGCTCCCCCTAGCCCCTTACTCCCCACCAAATAGCTGTATAAGTTAATGCTTCCATACGAGATACAGAGTGGTCAAGTGCACGGGCTCTGGTGTTGAACTGCTTGCATTTGAATCCTAGCTATGCTACGTGCTGGCCCCTGACCTTGGGAAAGTTACGTAACCTCCTTGTGTCTCAGTCTCCCCATCTGTAAAATGGGGCTGACAATAGCACCTACCAAATAGGGTGGCTGTGAGGGTGAGATCATGTAAAACACTTGGAACAGTATTTGGTGCAGAGTAAATATTAATGAATAAAAACAATCATTACTAACAATGTGTAAGGTGTCTTAAGTATATCCATTATATTAGGCTTGTATTTTGATTTAATAGCATAATCCATCTCAGAATTTGGTAAACTACAACCCTCCGGCCAAAGGTGGCCCATAGTCGTTTATGTACCAGCATATTGGTAAGAATGGCTTTTATATTTGCAAAGGGTTGTTTGAAAACAAAATCCCAAAAGCAAAGTATGTATGTGGTCCACAAAGCATGAGCTATTTACCATCTGGACCCTTACAGAAAAGAGTTTGCCAGCCCCTAACCCCTATGATCTTCATGGAAAGAGTTAGGAGATCTGTAGGCTGGATTCAGCTTTGACTTGGAAACGCTATTTAATGTGTCAGCCTCTGTGACACAGGAAAGGTAAAATGATACCAAGTACACTGCCCATGGCCCAGCTTGTTTTAAGGACCAAATGAGATATGTATTGAATATGCCAGAAATGCACGTTAGTTTAAAAAGACAAGTCTCCAAATATCAGGTTCATGTACTGTTGTTAGCATCCAGGTGTAAAAACTGTGAACATAGTCTAGAAAGAGTTCTAAAACCAAATCACTTGTAAAAATAATAACAAAATAACCATTTTATTTTTTGAGAGCTTGATATGGTCCAGGTCCTACAGTCTGCACTTTATTTATATCTTCTATCCTCACAAATGCCTAGGGGGCAAGTGTTGTTATTTTCCCCACTGTACAGATGAGAAAAACGAGGCCTAGGAAAATTAAGTAATTTTCTGAAGTTCACATATCTAATCAAGCAGCTGGCAGAGAAATAATTGAATCCTAGGGGGTTCTGACTCTGGAGCCTGTGTACTTAAATACTGTGTATTTCCCCACATTCTAGAACTAAGTGTTCATTCAGGGTAAATCCATCTGGAAGACAGCAGCAGCATGGTTAACTATGAAAACACACGTTGTGCTTCCCACAGAGGTCAAGCGGGGCCTCGTGGACATGCAGAAACAGAGGTGGGGATGATGCGAGGAAAGAAGCTTTGTGATGAACTGTGAGATCAGAAAGGTGATGTAAAGACTAATAGAATCTGTTTCAAGAGACTGATTTAAGTCAGCGTGTGCTAAAGGAGAAAAGGGTCCTGGGAACAGACATGAGCAAAGAGTTGGAGGCAGCCCAGGGGGTTGACTGAGCGAAGGGAGCGGGAGGGAGGGAGGAGAGAATGGAAAATTCTGTGACTGGGACACCAGGGAGCTTTGTCACGTGGGATGTCAAATTTGCTGTCATTTGGGGGAGATCTGATCTGCCAACTCAGGCTGCCCCGGGTAGAGGAGAGGAGCTAAGAGAACGGTCTCAGGCCCAAGGCTGGAAGGAAGCCAAAGAGAGACTTGGGCAGAGAAAACTACCAGAGGGGTTTGAAGAAAGTCAGTGCCAGAACCCAAGAGCAAGAACCACAGCCCACGGCTCAAAGGGCAGTATGACTCCAGAGGAAAACAAGTGTCTCTAGGGTCAGATTAAAGTGAGTCAGAACCAGACTCGCGCACACAACTGTTTCAGCCTGGTTGCGTGTACTTGGGACCAGCCTGCCTTCCTAGCTTGTACCGACCCCGTTCCCACCCAGGGACATGTTCTCACTCTCCGAGGTGGTCTCGGGAGTGCCTCGTCCGCATTGTTTCTTAATCTCTGTGAACATCAGCACCACTAGTGGGGCTTCTCCTTTTCTCTTTCTAACCTTTTAAGCAGATACACAAGCAGTTGGTACAAAATTTACAACATAGAAAATGCTCTGAAAAGCAGGTCCCCATCCTGGCCCTGTTCCCAGCCATCCAGCTCCTTTCCAGGGGCAGCCGCGGCTCGGGTTCCTGCCGAGCCGGGGTGCGCACAGTCCCAGATGGGACAAGGGGCAGCACACTCCGCCTCCTTCTGCGCTTCACTGTTTTAACTTCACCATAAATCTTGGAGATGATTCTGCATCAGTCCACACAGCACTTCCTCCGTCTCTTTGAAAGGACACAGCGTAGTCACTGTACAGCTGGACCACAGTTTTAAAAACCAGACCCTCTTTGGACATGCGGCTTGTTTCTGGCCTTTGCTGTTATAAACACTGCAGCCTTGCCTATCCTCACGGCCTCCTCATTTCCCATGACATGTACAAATCACTGTAGACTGAGGAAATGCTCAGAAGTGAAATTACTAGGTCAAAGGGCATAAGCTTTTCAACTAGTTACTGCCAAATGGTACTGATTGCACTCCCCTTGCCAAGGTATGAAAAAACCTGTTTGCTGGTGGGACTCAAACAAAAATACACAGGAGCCCTGGCCTCCCCTCAGAATCTCTGAGCGCGGAGCTTGGTGCGGTGGACTCAGAGGAGATTCTGAGCCAGAAACCCCCGTGGGTTCCCGTCGACCTCCAGCCTCTCCCTTCCCCCAGGGATTTGCCGCAGTGAGGCAAACAGGCTCCACAGGCCTCAGCTTCCCCGGCTTCCGGACGTGGGCACTCCTCGTGCTGATGAGCCCGTCGGGGCCGTGCCAGCCCTGGGCTCGCGGGGTCCTGCCTGGCAGGTCTGCTGTCCCCCTCGGGGATCAGAGCCTTCTCCCATAGATCATGGCGAGAAAACAGGATTTTCCACTTTAATCTACGTGTCACTCTTGTTAGGGACTGAGCAGAGACCAGGCCAGGGTTAGGACCATGTGGACATGCTATGGAGAAGTCCTGGACTACAACAGGAGAACATGGAAATGGTTAGATGTGGTGAGATAGTGAGGAATTTTTTTTCTAATGTGTAGCATTTTTACAATATTGACATTAAAGACCAAAGAATGTATTAGATATTTGTATTTCTAATAGACATTATGTAATATATAAGATGATGGTAACTGCTAGAGAGGACAGTAAATCAGGGACAAGAAAGCGAGAGGGCGTGTAAAAGATTGAGAGAGGATGACCAGGGAGAGCTCGCTGGGAAATGACAGCTGAGTGGAGACCTGACGGAGAAAGAAAGAAGGCCACGCAGACATGTGGGGAAAGAGAGCTCCGAGACGCAGGAACAACAAATGCCAAGGTCCTAAGGTGGGACCTTTGATTTCCTGTGTTTGTTTTTTCTCTTGATCTGGATCACAAGCAACTGGAAGGTAGGAATAATGTTTTATATGTCTTTAGAAATAGTTTTGATTACCTTTCACACTATACCCATTTGTACTCTTGAATTTTGTATCGCTTGTATTACATATTGTAAAAATAATTTTTTTATTGATTTTAGAGAGGAAGGGACAGAGAAGGAGAGAAAGATAGAAACATTGATGAGAGAGAACATCGATTGGCCGCCTCCTGCATGCCCCACACTGGGGATCCGGCCCACAACCTGGGCATGTGCCCTGGCCGGGAATCAAACCAGCGACCTCTTGGTGCCTGGGTCGATGCTCAACCACTGAGCACACTGGCCGGGCTGTAAAAATTATTTTTAATTAAGCTTATGCCTAAGGAGGACACCCAGCATAGAGTTGGACACATAGCAGGGTTCAATAATTATTTGCTCTTTGAATATTTGATAGCGACATGTTTAAAACATCAGGGTCCTTTTTTTTTAAAGGATTACTGATCCCATAGTTCACCTGAGAGGCTGCTCATTACCATGCCAGGTTTACTTACTACCAACCAAGGGGTCCTTTGGTCCTTTCTTTAACTGTAGAATTCCCACCGTAAGAGGGGCCTCCGGTTTCCAGTTATGGCACTTGTCACCTTTTTTATTAGCTCCCTTCAAACCCTAAAGGCTCCTCGGCTAGAGGAGTAGATTTTGCAACTTTTTGATGATGTTGTTTAGGGAAGCACTTCCAAGGTATTCATATTTGAAAACCTGGGGTGCATGTAAGCAGTGGTACCTGAAGTGTGGGTGATGAAAGTGACTCTCATAACAAGAAATGGTTGACAGAATCTAGTCCACTTGCTGGTTGGCTCACTTGGTGCCTGTTTGCCCTGCATTCGGCGGTGGGCCCACAGATGCCAGCAGATTACACAGCACTCAGCCAGCCCTTCAGAAACACTTGTGCTTCCGGACCAGCTGAAGAGCGCAGTGGAGGGCATGCCCAATTTCAGAGCTGTAGGGAAACTGTAAGAAAGAAAGGAAAACCACGGTGAGCCTTCACAGATCATAAATAGTTGAAATACGTGTGGTGTTGGTGGGTTTCTAATCAATGAGGGTGACGAGGTCTCTTTTCTGCAGAGCCAAGGGGAAGGGACAGCAGCCTGGAGAGGAGACAGCAGGAGAGAGGAGACTGAGGCCGGAGGGAGGGCCCGCAGGAATGAGAGGCCGGGCTTTGTGTGGTGCCAAAAACAGGTCAAAGGTCGTTCGCAGCTGCCGGCTAAGTTTGTTACCAAGCGTGGGTAAAGAGAAGCGTTACCAATCACTTGGCACCCAGGGGAGAGGCGAACTGAGGAATCTTTCCATAGGCAGTGAAGATCAATGTGGTGGGAAAGTGCCGGCCCCACCGCTGCTCCGAGGGGGAGCATTTTTAAATGCCTGCTGTCCTGTTGCCATCGGGTTGGATACAAGGCTCCAGAGAAGGTGGATTCATGTCTTCAGAACTTGTCTTAGAACAATGCTGAGGTACATGGTGGTTGTAGGCACAGTGAGCCGTCAGTAAGTGTGTGTGGTTGAAATTCTACATGGATCCAAAAATAGGAATTTAAAAATCCTCACTGCCGGCACCACCCCTTTCTCTGCGTGGTATTTGAATTATGCTCTGGGCAAGGCCTGCGTTACACAAACCTCTGAGATTTCTTGTTTTGCACCCCCTTCTTCCCTCCCACTACACCTGTCCTAGAGCCTTCTGCCGACCTCCAGTCTTCCTTCCCCTGGAGCCCAGGCGGCTGGGGGCATCCTCTCGACCAATGAGAAGAGGCTAATTGTCTTTCTCATTCTGTCATGTTGATTCAGAGTTCTATTTCTATAGATAAAACCAATGGTACCTGGGCTGTGGGGTAAATGGTGTGTGGGCTAAAGGCTGGTTTAGCAAACCTCGCTAGTTCAGCCCACACATCACAAACCAGATGGTCATGGCTCTCTTCATTGTAGGCAGGGTGCCAGAGGAAATTAAATCCTCTAAACAACCTATAGTTGTTAAGTGGAAAATGTCACTATGACCTTTCTTTCAGTGCTTTTAAACAAAGGCCTTTTTATTTTATTTTATTTTTTATTAGGCAAAATTTTAAAAGTTTAAAAGGTGAAAACTCTCCCGCTCACATCTCCCCCCGATCTGAATCATCCTCAAAGATGACCAGTGTAACAACGTCTCGTGTTTCCTGCACACGTTTTAAACCTCCACAAGCGCACGCAAAGTAGCCCACGTCAGGATTAAGTTCTCTTTCCTCCATCCTTGGCCTTTGATGTTCATGTGTCTCCCCTTGTGCTGTCTGCTGCATGATGGTCCAGTCGCATTCTTTGCATTGCCTTCCAGATAAAAATATCTTAATAAGCATGAGTGCCTTAGCCCGGAGGACAAGTAAACAACTGTATTTGATTGGGGCTCCCCAAGCGCATTGGTGTCACACTGCTATTAATTTAAACCATATCTTGAACAAGGTCCCTTAAGGTCATAAAGTAGGGACTCCAAAAAGTGATGTCTTTTAAGGCTGTGGCATGTTTTCTCTTGTTTCAGAAACTAGAATGAACCGAAGCATTCCTGTGGAGGTTGATGAATCAGAACCATACCCAAGTCAGTTATTGAAACCCATCCCAGAATATTCCCTGGAAGAGGAATCAGAGCCACCTGCTCCAAATAAAAGGAACATGGCACCCAACAGCTCGTCTGCATCCCGTACCCCCTACTATTGCTCAGGAGACTTTTCTCGGGCTCACCCTCACCTGAAACTTTCAAATCCCCAGCGGCCTGTGTCCCAGCAGACCACCTGCCTGCGCACGAAAGTCCTGGAGGAGAGTGAAGACAGCTTCTGGAGGAGACAGCCAGACCCAGGCAAAGACTGGCCCTCGGACTGCTCCGCAGCCAGTGAGCCTAAGCCTGAGTCTGTGGTCGGAGCCCTCCCCACAGAGCATCAGTTTTCATTTATGGAAAAGCATAATCAATGGCTGGGATCTCAGCTTTCAGCAGCTTCTCCTGACACTGGCCATGACTCAGACAAATCAGACCAAAGTTTACCTAATGCCTCAGCAGATTCCTCAGGCAGTAGCCAAGAGACAGCGCAGCGGCCCCAGCCCCACAGGAACCGAGCAGCTCCAGACCTGCCTACAACAGACACGGGGTATGATTCCCAGCCCCAGGACGTCCTGGGCATCAGGCAGCTGGAAAGGCCTCTGCCCCTCACTTCTATGTGTTACCCACAGGACCTCCCCAGACCTCTCAGGTCCAGGGAATACCATCTGTTTGCACCTCAGAGGCATCCGGCGCGTGCACAGATGCTGCCTCCCAACCCTTCCCCACACGCTCAGTGGAACTACCAGTACCCTTGTCCTGGAGGTCCCGATCACCAGGTGCCATGTAAGTGAGCTTCCTCTGGACACTCTGGGCTGGGTGACCAAGTAAACAAGGACCTCACATCAGTGCCTTGTATCTGCAGATCAGCACAGACAGGCCAGAATGCGGGGAGGGCAGTTTGCTACCCACAGGGCTTTCAGTGTGTGGTTGGATTTGCAAGAAGCTTTGGGAGAATGCTTTGTCTTAGCCCAAAACCTGTCCCGCTTGGAACCTGCCTCTGTAGGAACCTCTAAGGACACAAAGATTCCTCTGTCTAGGTTAGTTTAACTGAAACGTGCCTAGAGGCAAGGAGGTGACCCAAAGGACTTTTAGAAAACTTGTCTGTTGTCCTAATTCTTGGGCATCTGGGTTCTTCTTTGTCTGCATGCTTCTTTGCCATCTTAGATTTGGCAGAGAAAGGAGACTTCAGTCCAGAAAAAATCAGAAGGTGCCAGAATGTCTTTGAGACTCTGGCTTCTTGCCATTACGTGAAGATCAGATGCTCCTGTGATTCTGTTGCTTAAATCGCTTTGGAGACTTGAGCCATCCACCTCTACCCTACGTTCCAGCCACAACCCCTAACTTGTGTAGCTGTTTCACATCCCAAGCATTTGCCCATGATCTTTGCTCTATCCAGGATGTTCTTCCTCTTTTTGTGCATTTGACCCAGCCCTTTACTTCTTCTTTGTCTTTAACAGCTTTATTGAGATTGAATTTGCATACTGTAAAGTTTACCTTTTTAAGTGTACAATTCAATGAATTGCAGTATGTTTACAGAGTCATACAACCATCAGTATATCCCTGGCCGGTTTGGCTCAGCGGTTAGAGCGTCGGCCTGTGGTCCTGAGAGACCCGGGTTCAGTTCCCGCTAAGGGCACGTACCTCGGTTGCAGTTTGTCCCCGGCCCTGGTCGGTTGTGCGGGTGGCAGCCACTCGATGTGTTCCTTTCACATCGATGTTTCTCTCTCTCTCTCTCTCTCTCTCTATTCCTCTCTCTCCCTCCCACTCTACCTGAACAAAAAAAAAAATGGAAAAATGTCCTCGGGTGAGGATAAAAAAAAAAAAATTAACCATCAGTACAGACACACACACACACACACACATATTATATCTCTTTTAAGACTTAGTTCAAGTGTTCCCTCTGGAAACCTCCCTGGATCCTTCAGGCTCTCTGTTTTCTTGTTTTCTGCCTGCTGGGGCACCTGCTAATCAGTACGTCCACCTCTCTTTCCAGAATGCAAGCTTTTGCTCATCAACAAAGATGTATTTCAATCCATAATTCCCTGGCATTTAGCACAGTGACTAACATATACTAGATTCTCAATAAATTATTTCTGAATGAATGAATGAATGAATAATATGTGTCAGTGCATTAAGCATCTCTGAAAGTGATAAAGTCTTAGACTGAGATAAAAGGTTCATCATAATCCTTGGTTTTAAATCTCCACCAAGGCCACTGGAAAATAACAATAAGATTTTACAGATCAAACACAGGGCTCTGAAATATGATACTTTTCTTAGCAAATAAGCACTGTACAAAAAAAGCAATTTAAGTGGTGTAAGAAGAGTCTGTCCACAGGCCTGACACCTAACTTTGAAATAAATTGTAGAAATAATTACAAATGCTGTAACCAATCACAGTTTATGTATTGTACATGTACACTTAGTATAAAGGTTCCTAAAGTGAATGGAGCAGTACAGAAATTAATAATTGTTTTAAAAGGAAGGAAGTAGAGGAATTTAACTTAGAAGAAACAGGTAAGAATGAACATGAGTTTCAGAATAAGGCCAGGAGATACAAAAACATCAGGGCTTGTGGAGAAAGAGTCTCTGAGGTCTAAAACTGAGACCCAGGGTGTTGGAGGTTGGGAAGTCCCCCAACTGGGAGTCACATACACCACTGTCTGCTCTGAGTGCCCAGGAGAAGTGAGAGAAACGAACCTTGATAGGGTCAGGGTTGCATTTATTTCTCAGTGATTTCCAGGTAAAAAGGGAATACTTTATGAGAATAATGCCATAAACTGCTTTTTTAAAACATTTATTATCTGCACTAAAAGATCATTTTTCTGATCATAACAATAATATTTGTTCACTCTCAAAATTGGAATATGCCCAAAAGTTCATTTCATATTTCCATCACCCACATATAATTTCTATTGGGTTATTGACATATTTACTGCCGTTTCTTTTTTCTTTGCTTATACATTTAATGTCAAATCAAACTAGTTTCCAATAACATTTGGTGCACTACCTCTAGCACCATTTTAAAATGCTGCATAGTATTTCATCAGGTGGACCTACCAACTTGTTTTATTCTCCATTGTTGAACAGTTTCCAGTTTTTCATCCAATAAGCAATTGACATGACAAACATTACGTACATAAGTTGTTATGTGCATTTCCGATTAATTCCTTAGACTGATGTGTAGTTGTATAAATACTTAGTCAAGGGCTTTAGGATATTAAGTCCCAAGCAGTTGCTTTTATCTACTCACAGGAGAAAGCTTCATGATGATAGACAAAGAAAGCATTGACTCACTATACTGTGAGGGTCCCAGGAAGATCTTCCTATTTGAAAATATTTTTCCCGTGGAAGCCTAAAGTGGCACCATTAGCAATCCAGTCTTTGGAGGTCAGCATTGTCCACTCTGGGCAGGCTTTTTCAAATGCAAACACTCCTGACTGGGAACAGTTTTAGCCTTCAATACCTCCTGACCTGATTCCTTTCATCAGGCCCCTCCTCTTTGCTTTCTGTAATTTTTCCTTCTACTGAAGGGGAAGGAGGGAGGGGACACCTAGGATCCTGGGAGTGAAGAAAGGTGATGAAAGGCAGAGAGGAGAGAACTTGGATAGGAAAGGGGGCCAATTCATAGAATATATACAAACAGCCAAACGGTATAGGAAACCAAGCTTAACATTACTAAATTTAAGAAAAGTTTATATGCACAAAAATTTTAAAGATACCCTTTTTCCAGTTAAGTATACAAAAATTAAAAACTTTGAACACCATCCAGTGTTAGTGGGTTTTGGAGAAAGAAACACTCCCGTCTACTCTTGGTAGGAGTATGATTGTTACAATCTCCCAGAAGGCAGCCTCGCTATTTATCGAAACTTAAATGTGCTTCCTCTTTGGCCCAGCAGTCTCATTTGTGGGAACCTACAGAAACATTGAACAAGCACATAAAAATACATGCTCAAGGATGTTTATTAAAGCATTGTTGCATTAGAGTAAAAACAAAAACTAAAATGCCTATCAATAAAGGGACAGATAAGTATCTGTGACTGAGTTATATAGTTATACAGTTAGTTATACAGTTATACTACTAGGCCCCTATTGCAGAGTAAAATACACATTCTGACATAAAGAAGAGCAAGTGGACAAGCAGGCAGTGTTGAACCCATACATGTTATTTTTTAAAACTGCATATGTTTAAAAATTATATATTAAAAAATCTGGCCCCAACTGTTAACAGTGATGATAGGGGAAGGGGACAGGGAATTAAGAAGAAATGGGGAGATTTTCCTTCTAACTTAATATACTTCTGTTAAATTTGTTATAGCAAATAGGTATTACTTTTATAATTTAAAAATAAGCCGTGGCTGCTTTGGTTCAGCGGTTAGTGTCGACCCGCCTACCTGGGTTGCAGGTTCAATCTCCAGCCCTCGGGGTCGTGTGGGAGGCAACCAATCAGTGTGTCTCTCTCACACTGATGTTTCTTTCTCTCTCTCTCTGTCCCCCTTCCACTCTACCTAGGAAATCAATGAAAAAATATCCTCGGGTGAGGATTAACAACAACAACAACAAAATGTATATATATATAATTTAAACATAAGTAAAAATTAGAAAGAAAAAGGAAAAGTAAGGGGAAATGAGAATGTATGGGCAGGCCCGCCCCGATTCACCCTACCTATGCCCTGGGTCACAGGGAGGAGGGTCGGGGCTGGGTCCTCTTTGTTGAGGAAGCCCAGTGCTTAGGGTTTTTCTCTGGGGCAGTGCAAGCCCAGAATATTTCATAAGGCCCCCAGTAGCAAAAGCTTCCATGAAGGTTGCTGTGAGGATTAAATGAGATAATGTACAGAAGATACTAGGAAAGTGGCTGGTTTACAGTAAGCCGTGAATAACTAGCAGCTCTTAGTTACCGTTACTATTTAAATTAAAATCCTGCAGCACAGCCCTGTAGAGTGCTTCTTGACTTCCAGATCCCTTTTGCTGGTGCAGATTTTTAATATTCAGAGCATGTGTACAATGCTTATTTTCATGTCGGGGCTATAACTGCACTTAATTGCTAACAAAACCACTTCAAAAGAGCTGTTCACCTAAGGGATGCTTGTGCAGTTGGAAACCATGGCTACGTGGTTCTACTCGGCTTTAGAAGAGCATCACTTCCTCATCCGCTAATGAAAATATAAATAAATAATGATCACCATGCAAATGGCATCTCTTAGCCTTTGCAAGTTAAAGCGAAATGGTTACTGGTCTCCCCTTTCATGTAAATAAAGAAAAAGTTTTCAAAGCAGGTGAAAATGAGAAGTGGAAATAAGCCTTTTTCTTCCTCCTCCCACCCGTTGGAGAAGGTGCCCTGAGAATCCTTCCCAGGAAGGTCACCGGCACAGAGGTCATGGCTACGCAATCAAATGAAACCCATAATACAAATAAATTGGGGGGAATGAATGTATTATATCTAACGGGTTCTTATTTTTACTATAAAATCATTGCTTTCTCTACCAAAGAGACGGAATAAAATAAAACTGTGGACTCATGCCTACTATTGCTCATGTGAACCCAAAAAAGTGATTCTTTGTGTGCTAGAACGCATGCCCAATTAAAATAAGGAAAAGACAAACCAGATGGAAGAAATGCTTGAGGAAGGAGTGCCCTTCAGGAGCACAGCTGCTTTTAGCTGTGAGTCCCTGTAACAGTTTATGTTGGCTATTTTGTTTCCTGGCTGAACTGCATTATATCATGATGTTTTTGACAACTTGAAAATCAGATTTTATTTTCTCTCTCATAAACTCTTTTAATACCATTCTTAATAAGGAAGAAAAATGTTGAATGTTTTGTCTGATAAGTGGAAAACCTCATTAGGATTTGGTTTATAAATTCCAAGTGGTAAAACCTCAGTAACATGGAGACCATGTGTACTCAGGCCAGGAGGGTCATAATATTGACAAATAACACCGTTCTGGGCCCCCACTTATGACTGTAAGATTTGCATTGTGTTTTGTGACTAACACTGCCTCAGAATCGAGGAGTTACCATGCTAACAAATCATCTGTCTGTCACACCACCCACCACCTTCTATTCTTCATCTCCCGCAGAAGAAACTCTCTTGATGGAATTTTAGATACTGGGAAAAGTCAGTGGGGGAGATATTTTTGTAATTCTTAAGTCTACCATGTAGGTGGCTGCCGACTTGCACGCCCCTCCTTCTCTCACACTAACGAGTGTGGGTTTGTGTTTCAAAACAGACACCCACAGACACACGGATTTCTTTCTCTCTCCATTTATTTTGAGCTACTTAAGGGAACTGTATCCTATTTTTCTGTGTTCACTGAGTGTCAAGCCATAGAAATTCAATAAATATTTGTTGAATGAATGAAAAGAAACCTGCTCCCTACTTCCTGGGGAAAAGAGTAATCCCTGCCCTGGCCGGTTTGGCTCAGCGGTTAGAGCGTCGGCCTGCGGTCGGGAGAGACCCGGGTTCGGTTCCCGCTAAGAGCACGTACCTCGGTTGCAGTTTGTCCCCGGCCCTGGTTGGGTTGTGTGGGTGGCAGCCACTCGATGTGTCCCTTTCACATCGATGTTCTCTCTCTCTCTCCCCATCCCACTCTATCTGAACAAAATATCAAAAATGTCCTCGGGCGAGGATAAGAAAAAAAGAGTAATCCCTAATCGTGAGTAGAGGCTTTATGATACCGAGCCTTGGAAAGGTCATCTCTAACTGTCTCCGGGAGAGGGGTGGGATGGAGGGGTTCAGTGGGATTTGCACATAGAACTTGTCCATTCATTTGTTAATTTACTCAACAAATATTTGCCAAGCACTCTGCTAGGCACTAGGTGTACATTGGTGACTACCACACATGGGCTTGTCTTCCACAGTCTCCTGGGGAGACAAAGTAGAAATCAGCAAACAAAACAAGTATAAGTGCTATGAAGGAAATGACCAGTGTTAGAACAGATGTTAATGACAGGGTGGTCGGAGGAGGCTTCTCTGAGGAGGACACATGAGTGGAAACTTAAAGGACGGGAGGGTCAAGGCGGCAGGAGCTTGCTCAGGTACCAAAAGCAAGCCAGCAGGGCTGCGGTGGGGCGAGCGGGACTTGATGTGCTAGAAGAGGAGGATGCGAGGGCCATGGTAAGGAATTTAGATTTGATTCTAAGTTAAACTTCTTTAGGAAAACAGAAAATTGAACTCTCTAATCTTGAATAAAGCCAAGAACAGTGCTTGGCATGTAGCAAGTACTCAATAAATGTTAGCCCTTACTATGTATATATAGTACCCAACTAAATTAGTAAGCCTCCATCAAAATAGTGAAACAGAATGATCAAAACTTCAGCAACGGAAGATATTCATCTATCTGCTACGCATGGTTGTGACTTAGCAGCTTTTCTCTACAACCAGCCAAATTCCAGACAAAACCAAATTCCACTTATAAGAGGGAAAGCTCATGTTTGATATACTCTCTGATATTCAGCATTTCTTTATTTTAAACAATCAAAGGACGGCATCGAGGACTATATTGTCAGTACTCTCATCTGAAAAATAGACGAGGTGGATCATTTCATCTGCTCATATAAACCCATTTACGTTTTTACCACAGGTGGCCATTTCAGAAATGAAAGTTACAGCTAATCAAACACTTAGCCCACATGCCTTGGTGATTTTAATGATAAGATTTGTTGCTATGAGACAAAAACATGTTGTGCGGGAAATAATCTGTTAGAGATCATATGACCTTGATTCAAAGGCTTTTGATTAACAGCACTAACATCCGCTTTCTGGATAAGAAACAAGCCCTATGATTAGAGTTTGGTAGTCCTTTTAAAGCAGATAAAACATTATTAGCCACTTATTAATGGATATGGGAAGCAAACATTATTTCAAACATTAAAAATGTTCAAGGCCACCCACAAAGTTTCTCTTCTTTTACCTTGTCTTTCTTCTTCCAATTTTCAGAGGGAGACACTGAAGAAAAGAACGGACAGTGGATGAGAGTAATCTTGAATATCTAGCAGGCAGACTGTGCCGTCCTAGATGGCTTCTCTTTTAGTGTGTGTGTGTGGAGCTGGCTTTGTAACTATTCAGTCTTCTTCATTCATTTATTGAGCAGCCCCTGTGCTTGGAGACACGATGGCAAGCCAGCACAGTCTGTGCTTTCACAGAACTTAGATGCTAGGAGGGAAGGCAGACAGGAAGTTGACAAAAGTCATGCTTACGTACACAAACACATGATAAGTGCTATGGAGAAAATAAAATGGAGATGGGATGGAATAGGGCAACTGAGTGAAGGGGTGGTATCTGAGCCGAGCCCTGAATGACAAGAAGTTGATCTGTAAAGACATGAGACAAAAACATTCTGGGCAGAGAGGATGGCAACTCAAGGGCCCAGAGGTAGGGACAAGCTTGGGGCATTCAAGATGGAGAAAGATTGCCAAAGTGATAGTTGGGGCTTGGTGAACGTCATAGGAGATGAGACCTAGAAGGACAGGGGTCCGATCATGCAGAGTAGATTTTTTTTAATCCTCACCCGAGGATATTTTTCCATTTTTTGTACAGATAGAATGGGAGGGAGAGAGAGGAAGGGAGAGAGAGTGAGAAACATCGATGTGAAGGGACACATCGAGTGGCTGCCACCTGCATGACCAACCAGGGCTGGGGACAAACCGCAACCAAAGTACGTGCCCTTAGCGGGAACCGAACCCGGGTCTCTCCGGACCGCAGGCCGACGCTCTAACCGCTGAGCCAAACTGGCCAGGGCTAGAGTAGATTTTAGTGCAGTGGGATCCCTGGAGGGTTTATACCTACAGCTGGTGCTGTAAACAGTCCACTCATGCAAGACTTGTCTGAGAGTAGGGCTGGCCCCTGCCTGGCGACCTGGTAGCAGTGGCACTTTTTGCCCTGTCTAGCTGGGAAAAAGGAGCACCAATAGTGACCTCCCTGTTGGCCTAAAACTCCAACTGGCCATCTTGACGCTGTGAAATATACCTGATCTGCCCCAGGAAGGCTGTAAAAGCAAAACCTGCATAGTGTATCTTGTGCTAGAACACAGGGGTCTCTGTGGTCCCGTCTCCCCATTCTTAGAGATGCCCTCCAAATCATGGTCTCCTTTATCAGCCAGGGGCTGGGATAGACCCAGGCAGATCCTTTTATCCTCTTACCCTTTCTTATGCTCCTAAAGTCATGACCAGTCCTAAGCAATAGTAGGGCAAGTGCCATAGGCAAGGCCGGAGACAACCTGGGTTGGAGGGGAATGGTCACTTTTGCCAAAGGAAACATGACAGGAAGGACCTGGCTAGTGTCACAAGTCAAAGCAGACACTAGATTGAATGCAGGGAATCTGACCATGCTTCAGTGACTGGCTTGGGCACATTTCCAGGGTCACTCCACCAAGTTTCCTACATCCAAGCAGCTGAGACCTGGAGGCAGTCACACTAGTGAACATACACATGGTTTTTCTTCTGTATTTGAGGACATCATTCCCCTGAATGTTCCCCTGGAAACTTCAGTGGCTCCTGACTACTTACTAAATTAAGAATATAATTCTTAGCCACATTCTCCCCCTCTGTATCCTGGTTCCAACCTACCTTGTCTGTTTGCTTGCTTGCAAGTTTGACTTCAGTTTACATCAGGGCATGTGTCCTACCTACAGTGGAAAAACTCGATTGTTACTTTTATAGTAATAAATATCAATATATATACTTTTTGAAAAACAAGGTTCCTTCTTGCCCTAACTAGCTATGACTCCTGGATCATCCAACTTCTTATGCGGGCAGAGGTGGCAATGCTTGGCTCACAGGAGGCGCTCATGGTTCATTTTGCAGGGTTACCCATTTGGCTCTCTCCAGCTTCCTCAGAGTCTGGGCCACCCCTAAGGTGCATCCCCACCTCTCAGACTTCCCACAGTGAGCCCCCCGGGGCCTGGGCAGTCCTCAGAGCCTTCCTCTCTCACCCATAGTGGGTTCCCTGCATCTCTCTTCTGGTCTCCAGTCCTCCTCTCACACCTGGACAGGCGGGCTGCCCTTCTCCCCTTGAGACCCTGTGGCTCCTAGGCTTGGCTGGGACCCATTTCTCCTAGTTACACAGTCACTAAGTCACTGCTAGCCCTGGCTGTGCTCTGAGCCCTGCCCTGTTCCAACTGCCCTGGCCTCACGTGCGCGTGGGCTTTAGCCTGGGAGGACCAAGAAAGTGGGGTAGTATTGCCAACTGGTTGCCTACTTCCCAGAGGTATGAGCCAAGTTTTCATTCATTTATTTCTTTGTAAGAGAAAGTGGTGTGCGTGTGTGTGTCCACTTGGGAGAAGGAGTGGAAAGCATATCAATTCTCTATCTATCATGGGAACAATTTCTCCTAGCCATGGGTTCTATAAACCTGGGGAATTATAGTAGGAATGATGGTGGGGAGGTTCTTCATGGTTAGATTATCCTAAGTATCTGATTAAAATAGGGGCCTATGTGGCGCTTTGCACTTTCCAATTAGAATACCAGACTCATTATTTCACACATGTTTTTATTTGGGAAAATAAAACCACAATGACTCAGTTTAATAAAAACTATCAAATAAATGATGGTACAGAAATATGGCAAGCATCACGGAGGTGGTAACTGATATCTGGAACCCTCGGTTGTTGTCAAGACAAAAATTTGCACTGAGCTTGCTTCTCCTTTCACACGAAGGGGCCCGAGTCAGTTCCCTGTTCTCTTGGCTGTCTTTACCTGCAGATGGCCACGACTACCCTCGAGCAGCCTACCAGCAAGTCATCCAGCCAGCTCTGCCTGGGCAGCCCCTACCTGGAGCCAGTATGAGAGGCACGAACCCTGTGCAGAAGGTCATTCTAAATTATCCCAGCCCCTGGGACCAGGAAGAGAGGCCAGCACAAAGAGACTATTCCTCCCCAGGACTCCCGAGGTATCAGTAAGTATTATGGGGTCATCCTGCAGATAGGTTTAACGTGAAAAAGCATGATGCCGATGCAACACTGTATCAAAACTCTGTTGGTTTACTACTCAGGTTAGTGGCCAAGTCCCACAGAGACTTTTCAGGTCAGGAGGAAGCAGAAGCTGATTGACAAGCATCTCTTTACCAGACATAGAAAGCCACTGATGACTGGTCAAAAGTCTCTTGAAAGAAAGGTTCCTAAGATGCTAAGTCACACTTACTTCTTTTACCTTCTCATCACTTGGCCTTTTTGCCCATGAAATAGATTTTTAGTTTTACTAGGACTGACTTCCACCTCTGAGAAGTTGTTTTTTATAGTTTGTATAACTGTTTAAACCCATTTCTTTGGAATTTTAAATTCAATTTGTTTCTAGTAGAAGTGTAAAATAACCGGTGATTTTCTTTTCTTTTTTTTTTTTCCCTCACCCGAGGACATTTTTCCATTTTTTGTACAGATAGAGTGGGAGGGAGAGAGAGGAAGAGACAGAGAGAGAGAAACATCGATGTGAAAGGGACACATCGAGTGGCTGCCACCACACGACCAACCAGGGCCGGGGACAAACTGCAACCGAAGTATGTGCCCTTAGCGGGAACCAAACCCGGGTCTCTCCAGACCGCAGGCCGATGCTCTAACCACTGAGCCAAATCGGCCAGGGCCCGGTGATTTTCCTTTGTAACAAAAACATTCACACTTGTTGAATGCCATTATTAGGTCTTTCCTAAATGTCTTCCAGGAAAACAATTCTGGTTTTTCCTGACTTCAGTGGTCTAACCCTTCCATCATTTTTCTCCTCACCGTTCTCTTTGGACTTGTCTCCAAGCTTTCCTCTTCCCTTAATTTATGTATCTAAAATATATAGGAAAAATTCACGTCAATAGAGCTTCCTAATTTACAACAAAATTAAAGAATGGGTGCTATGTTTGCTCTGCTCAGCACAACTTTATATACACTCAAAGCAAAACTTTGAGACATATGGTCCTATTAGAGCAGGTTTTTTTCAGAAATACATAAATTAGTAATTAGCTAAAAAAGTTTATTGAAAGAAAAAAAGCCCACCCTGATAATAATGACAGATAGGGCATATGTCTGTTTCCTTTGCCCTCACTCAAAAGCCCACGAGCCTTCAGATTTTCTTTCTAGATCCCTTATTTTGAGAAACAAAATTACATGGAGTTTAAATAATAGAATTAAGTAAAATGTGATTTGACAACCAAATAAGCACTCTTACAGAAGAAATATCTAAAATTCTTAGAAAACAAACAAAAGTTAAGCATCTTTATGAAACACATTCGGTGTTGAATAGAGGAGGAATAGTAATTTCTACAACAAACATTTATTTTGAAATAATTTTAGATTTATAGAAGAATTGCAAATATAGCGCAGAATAATTGCTTTTGTAGCATCAGTTTAAGCCTGCTATGGTCTCCTTGGATTTATTTTATCATTTTAGAGCAGCGATTTTCAACCAGTGTGCTGCAAGAATTTTTAAAAGATGAAATACCTAACTATTTAGTCAGGGGCACTCACTTCTTTTCCCATAGATTGTCAAATAAAAATAAAAAAAAAAACAACAGCCAACACAACAATAATTATCCAGGGTGAATGAGTAAAAATTTACCTATTTTTTTTGTCAGATCAGCAAAAATATATATATTTTGGTGTGCCGCAGAATTTTAGTAATTAATCTATGTGTGCGATGAGATAAAAATGGTTGAAAATTGCTGTTCTAAGGTAGTAAAAAATAAGTTCAGGTAATGAAGCTAATTCTCCTCTTCCTGATCATTTGAAAGACAGCCTTAATACAGAAAGTTTACTCTGTCATTAAACTTCATGATATTGATTTTATATTGAAGTTTTTAAATATTATCAAGGCCTTAAGATTTCTTTATTAAATGAGCAATTATTTTTAAATTAAACAACTTTGGATATAAAGATATTTAATGCAAAAAGTATATGGAACTGGAGTCCCATTGGATGAAGGCATATTTTATAGAAATTTTTCTCTAAATTAATAAAAATATAAAATAAAAATAACTTCCTCAAATATCAGATTTTAGAAATATAGTATAGTTTGAATTCTATGTAATTTTTTTTTAAATCTTGTTGCATAAGTCTTAGAATGTCTGATTACTCTTTCAGGTAAAAAATATGAAAACATAAGCAATAATCTATTTTAAAATAGAATATACAGCCCTGACCAGTCGGGCTCAGCAGTTAGAGTGTTGGCCTGAGGACCAAGAAGTTGAGGGTTTGATTCTAGTCAAGGGCAAATACCTCAGTGCAGTTCAATCCCTGGCTTGGGTTGGGTTGTACGGGAGGCAACCAATTGATATGTCTCTCTCACATCGATGTTTCTCTCTCTGTCTCTATCCCTCCCATTCCATCTGAAAATCAATGGGAAAATATCTTTGGGTGAGGATATTTTTTTTTAAAGGCATATTATACACATAGATTTTTATAATCAAAACATTTTTTTTTAATTTAAAATAATCTCAAACACAAAACAAACAGAAGCAGCCATGCTCCCACTACCTAGATTTTTAAAATGTTAACATAGGGCCATGGACTACATCAAACTAAAAAGCTTCTGCATAGTAAAAGAAACAATCATCAAAATGGAAAGGGAACCCACCATATGGGAGACCATAATTGCCAATGATGCATCAGATAAGGGATTGATTTCCAAACTATATAGAGTACTCATACAACTCAACAAAAGGAAGATAAAGAACCCAATTAAAAAAATGGGTAGAGGACCTAAATAGATACCTCTCCAAACAGGACATACAAATGGCCAAGAGACATATGAAAAGATGCTCAGCATCACTAATCATCAGAGAGATGCAAATTAAAACAACAATGAGGTATCACCTCACACCTGTCAGAATGGCCGCCATCAACAAATCATCAAACCACAAGTGTTGGAGAGGGTGTGGGGAAAAGGGGACTCTAGTACACTGCTGGTGGGAATGCAGACTGGTGCAGCCACTATTGAAAACACTATGGTGTTACCTCAAAAAATTAAACATTGAACTGCCATTTGACCCAGTGATCCCACTTTTAGGAATATACCCTAAGAAGCCTGAAACACCAATCAGAAAGAATATATGTACCCCCATGTTCATAGCAGCACTATTTACAATAGCTAAGATCTGGAAACAGCCCAGATGTCCATCAGTAGATGAGTGGATAAAAAAGCAGTGGTACATATACACAGTGGAGCACTATGCAGCTGTAACAAAGAAAGATCTCTTATCCTTTGAGACGACATGGAGGGACCTAGAGAATATTATCCTAAGCGAAACAAGCCAAGCAGAGGAAGACAAATATCACATGATCTCACTTATTTGTGGAATATAATGAACTAAACAAACTGATGAACAAAATTGACCCAGGGACATAGAGGTAGGGTACAGACTGACAAACCCCAGAAGAGGGAGGTTTGGTGGGGGGAGAAATAAACCACAAAACTTATATGCATGTATGCATAACCAATGGACATAGACAACAAAGGACCAGTCAGAAATGAAGGATGCACTAACTGAAATAAAGAATCATTTACAGGGAATCAATAGTAGAGTAGGTGAAGCCAAGAAACAAACCATCGAATTGGAATATAAGGAAGCAAAAACCACCCAATCAGAACAGAAGAAAAAAAAAAATCCAAAAAAATGAGGACAGTGTAAGAAGCCTCTGGAACAACTTCA